CGCTTCGGCGCTGTGCCGCTTCTTGAAGCTTTGACGCTTCTTGACGCTTTGGCGCTTCTTGAAGCTTTGCCGCTTTGACGCTTCGTGGTGCTTCGACGCCTTGGCGCTTTGCGGCTCTTTGACGCTTCTTGACGCTCTGGCAACACAGCGGCGATGAACACAGGAGACGGCGGCTGCGTCTCAGAGCTTGCGGCTTTGCGGCTTTGCGGCTTTGCGGCTTTGCGGCTTTGCGGCTTTGCGGCTTCAGCGATCCATGGCGGTGGCAACGCAGCGGCGATGAACGCAGGAGGCGGCGCATGAGTCGCAGAGCTTGCGGCTCGGCGGCTTGGCGGCTTGGCGGCTTGGCGGCTTTGCGGCTTTGCGGCTTTGCGGCTTTGCGGCTTTGCGGCTTGCGCGTTCCATGTCAGCTTTGCGGCTTTGCGGCTTTGCGGCTTTGCAGCTTGCGCGTTCCATGGCGGCTTTGCGGCTTTGCGGCTTTGCGGCTTGAGCGTTCCATGGCGGCTTTGCGGCTTTGACGCTTTTCAGGGTGCGCGCGTGTACCCGAACCCGCGTGCAATGGTTTCTCTCTGCTTTTTTTTTCGTTTCAGGCCTCTCTTTCCTTCAAGTCCTGTCTTGTTCTTTCGGCTCCTCTCATTCGTTTGCAACCTCTCCCTAACTTTCGTTGGACTCCTGCTGACTTTCGTTGGAAGTCCTTCTTTCGCTTCTCTATGCTCTTCTTTCGTTTGAGGAGACCTCTCTTTCGTTCAAGTCCTGCCTTGTTCGTTCGACTCCTCTCATTCGTTTGAAAGCCTCTCTCTTTCGTTGGACTCCTGCTGACTTTCGTTGGAAGTCTTTCTTTCCTTTCTCTATGCTCTTTTTGTTCTTTTCAGGCCTCTCTTTCGTTCCAGTCCTCTCTTGTTCGTTCGACTCCTCCTCTCGTTGGACTCCTGCTGACTTTCGTTCGAAGTCTTCTTTCGTTTCTCTTTGCTTTCTTTTCGTTTGAGTTGGGACGTCTCTTTCGTTCAAGTGGCTTTCGTTCGAAGTCTTCTTTCGTTTCTCTCTGCTCTGTTTTCGTTTGAGAGCTATCTTTCGTTCAAGTCCTGTCTTGTTCGTTCGGCTCCTCTCATTCGTTCGAAACCTCTCCCTTTCGTTGGACTCCGGCTGACTTTCGTTCGAAGTCTTCTTTCGTTTCTCTCTGCTCTTTTTTCGTTTGAGACCTCTCTTTCGTTCAAGTCCTGTCTTGTTCGTTCGACTCCTCTCATTCGTTTGCAACCTCTCTCTTTCGTTGGACTCCTGCTGGCTTTCGTTCGAAGTCCTTCTTTCGTTTCTCTCTGCTCTTGTTTCGTTTCAGGCCTCTCTTTCGTTCAATGTCCTATCTTGTTCGTTCGACTCCTCTCATTCGTTTGCAACCGCTCTCTTTCGTTGGACTCCTGCTGGCTTTCACTTGAAGTCCTTCTTTCGTTTCTCTCTGCTCTTTTTTCGTTTCAGGCCTCTCTTTCGTTCAAGTCCTATCTTGTTCGTTCGACTCCTCTCATTCGTTTGAAATCCTCTCTCTCTCTCTCTTTCGTTCAAACCCTGTCTTGTTTCGTTCGACTCCTCACATTCGTTTGCAACCTCTCTCTTTCGTTGGACTCCTGCTGACTTTCGTTCGAAGTAATTCTTTCGTTTCTCTCTGCTCTTTTTTCGTTTGAGGAGACCTCTCTTTCGTTCAAGTCCTGCCTTGTTCGTTCGACTCCTCTCATTCGTTTGAGATCCTCTCTCTTTCGTTGGACTCCTGCTGACTTTCGTTGGAAGTCTTTCTTTCGTTTCTCTATGCTCTTTTTTTTTTCTTTTCACTTTTCAGGCCTCTCTTTCGTTCCAGTCCTGTCTTGTTCGTTCGACTCCTCTCCTTCGTTTGCAACCTCTCCCTTTCGTTGGACTCCTGCTGCCTTTCGTTCGAAGTAATTCTTTCGTTTCTCTCTGCTCTTTTTTCGTTTGAGACCTCTCTTTCGTTCAAGTCCTGCCTTGTTCGTTCGACTCCTCCCATTCGTTTGAAATCCTCTCTCTCTCGTTGGACTCCTGCTGACTTTCGTTCGAAGTCTTCTTTCGTTTCTCTTTGCTTTCTTTGCGTTTGAGACGTCTCTTTCGTTCAAGTGGCTTTCGTTCGAAGTCTTCTTTCGTTTCTCTCTGCTCTTTTTTCGTTTGAGAGCTCTCTTGCGTTCAAGTCCTGTCTTGTTCGTTTGGCTCCTCTCATTCGTTCGAAACCTCTCCCTGTCGTTGGACTCCGGCTGACTTTCGTTCGAAGTCTTCTTTCGGTTCTCGCTGCTCTTTTTTCGTTTGAGACCTCTCTTTCGTTCAAGTCCTGTCTTGTTCGTTCGACTCCTCTCATTCGTTTGCAACCGCTCTCTTTCGTTGGACTCCTGCTGGCTTTCGTTTGAAGTCCTTCTTTCGTTTCTCTCTGCTCTTTTGTCGTTTCAGGCCTCTCTTTCGTTCAAGTCCTATCTTGTTCGTTCGACTCCTCTCATTCGTTTGAAATCTTCTCTCTTTCGTTGGACTCCTGCTGGCTTTCGTTCGAAGTCCTTCTTTCGTTTCTCTCTGCTCTTTTTTCGTTTCAGGCCTCTCTTTCGTTCAAGTCATATCTTGTTCGTTCGACTCCTCTCATTCGTTTGAAAGCCTCTCTCTTTCGTGGGACTCCTGCTGACTTTCGTTGGAAGTCTTTCTTTCGTTTCTCTATGCTCTTTTTGTCCTTTTCAGGCCTCTCTTTCGTTCAAGTCCTGTCTTGTTCGTTCGAATCCTCTCATTCGTTTGAAATCCTCTCTCTCTCTCTTTGTTCAAGCCCTGTCTTGTTTCGTTCGACTCCTCACATTCGTTTGCAACCTCTCTCTTTCGTTGGACTCCTGCTGACTTTCGTTCGAAGTAATTCTTTCGTTTCTCTCTGCTCTTTTTTCGTTTGAGACCTCTCTTTCGTTCAAGTCCTGCCTTGTTCGTTCGACTCCTCTCATTCGTTTGAAATCCTCTCTCTTTCGTTGGACTCCTGCTGACTTTCGTTGGAAGTCTTTCTTTCGTTTCTCTATGCTCTTTTTTTTTTCTTTTCAGGCCTCTCTTTCGTTCCAGTCCTGTCTTGTTCGTTCGACTCCTCTCATTCGTTTGCAACCTCTCCCTTTCGTTGGACTCCTGCTGCCTTTCGTTCGAAGTAATTCTTTCGTTTCTCTCTGCTCGTTTTTCGTTTGAGACCTCTCTTTCGTTCAAGTCCTGCCTTGCTCGTTCGACTCCTCTCATTCGTTTGAAAACCTCTCTCTCTCGTTGGACTCCTGCTGACTTTCGTTCGAAGTCTTCTTTCGTTTCTCTTTGCTTTCTTTTCGTTTGAGACGTCTCTTTCGTTCAAGTGGCTTTTGTTCGAAGTCTTCTTTCGTTTCTCTCTATACTCTTTTTTCGTTTGAGAGCTCTCTTGCGTTCAAGTCCTGTCTTGTTCGTTCGGCTCCTCTCATTCGTTTGCAACCGCTCTCTTTCGTTGGACTCCTGCTGGCTTTCGTTTGAAGTCCTTCTTTCGTTTCTCTCTGCTCTTTTGTCGTTTCAGGCCTCTCTTTCGTTCAAGTCCTATCTTGTTCGTTCGACTCCTCTTATTCGTTTGAAATCTTCTCTCTTTCGTTGGACTCCTGCTGGCTTTCGTTCGAAGTCCTTCTTTCGTTTCTGTATGCTCTTCTTTCGTTTCAGGCATCTCTTTCGTTCAAGCCCTGGTTTGGTCTTAGGCGCGTAGGCGCTTATGCGCTTATGGACTGGTCTGGGGCGCTGAGCGCTTAGGCGCTTATGCGGCTTATACGCTGGTCTTAGGCGCTTAGGCGCTTAGGCGCTTAGGCGCTGGTCTTAGGCGCTTAGGCGCTTAGGCGCTTAGGCGCTTATGCGCTGGTCTTAGGCGCTTAGGCGCTTAGGCGCTTAGGCGCTTATGCGCTGGTCTTAGGCGCTTAGGCGCTTAGGCGCTTAGGCGCTTAGGCGCTTAGGCGCTTATGCGCTTTTGCACAGTCTCTTTGCGCTTAGAGGCTTAGGCGCTTAGAGGCTTAGAGGCTTATGCGCTTTTGCACAGTCTCTTTGCGCTTAGAGGCTTAGGCGCTTAGAGGCTTAGAGGCTTATGCGCTTTTGCCCAGTCTCTCTGCGCTTAGAGGCTTAGGCGCTTAGAGGCTTAGAGGCTTATGCGCTTTTGCCCAGTCTCTCTGCGCTTAGAGTCTTAGGCGCTTAGAGGCTTAGAGGCTTATGCGCTTTTGCCCAGTCTCTCTGCGCTTAGAGGCTTAGGCGCTTAGAGGCTTAGAGGCTTATGCGCTTTTGCCCAGTCTCTTTGCGCTTAGAGGCTTAGGCGCTTAGAGGCTTAGAGGCTTATGCGCTTTTGCCCAGTCTCTTTGCGTTTAGAGGCTTAGGCGCTTAGAGGCCTAGAGGCTTATGCGCTTTTACCCAGTCTCTTTGCGTTTAGAGGCTTAGGCGCTTAGAGGCTTAGAGGCTTATGCGCTTTTGCCCAGTCTCTCTGCGCTTAGAGGCTTAGGCGGTTAGAGGCTTAGAGGCTTGTGCGCTCTTGCCCAGTCTCTCTGCGCTTAGAGGCTTAGGCGCTTAGAGGCTTAGAGGCTTATGCGCTTTTGCCCAGTCTCTTGGCGTTTAGAGGCTTAGGCGCTTAGAGGCTTAGAGGCTTATGCGCTTTTGCCCAGTCTCTTTGCGCTTAGAGGCTTGGGCGCTTAGAGGCTTGTGCGCTCTTGCCCAGTCTCTTTGCGCTTAGAGGCTTAGGCGCTTAGAGGCTTAGAGGCTTATGCGCTTTTGCCCAGTCTCTTGGCGTTTAGAGGCTTAGGCGCTTAGAGGCTTAGAGGCTTATGCGCTTTTGCCCAGTCTCTTTGCGCTTAGAGGCTTAGGCGCTTAGAGGCTTATGCGCTTTTGCCCAGTCTCTTTGCGTTTAGAGGCTTAGGCGCTTAGAGGCTTAGAGGCTTGCGTGGTTTCTCTGAACCCCTTCTCCTACTGCAATGTTCCATCATCCATCCTCTCTCCCGTTTCTTCTGCTATGTCTCCTTCATGGCATGGTCCTCCGATGAGGAGTCACAGAGGTCATCACTTGAACCTAGGTGAGGGATCTCGATGGATGACGGCATCTGACGGCAAAGACGAAGGGGACATATCAGCTGTAGGACTCACGGAGAAATTTTCGATGCCATCGAGGAACTCTTGTAGCATCCAGGGATGTTGTTGAAAGTCGCACCTGTCCCGCTTCGACAGCTCTACTACGGGCCATATTCGTGTTTCAATTTCTGCAGAGTGCTTTGAACACCAATAACCGGTTGAAAGCTTAAACTTGCGCACCTTGAGGTGGCTGCCGCCTGCTTTGGAGCAAGGTCTGCATACGCAGGAAAGCCTGCCAGGCGGCAAGAAATAGCGGTTGTTGCAAGGCCAACAGGCTGGGTACAGTCTCGAAGTGTCACAAGGCTTGTGACCCTTGTGCATGTTGACAAATGTGGACAGAAGAAGTGGGGTTGACATATAATAATTAGAGTCGCAAAATGGATTCAAACACCAAAAATCGACAAGACAAACAATCACAATATGTATCTAATTATGTAATACGCTATGCAGGCGGAATCACTAACAGTGAAACAGGGCAAGCACAGGTTTGCCTCCTTGCGCAGCTGCTCATGACGACGTGACCACTCCTCAAGGCCTCAAACTTCCCAAAACGATCCAAAACGGCAAAAGAATGAAGAAAGTCACTGAAAGTAGTTAAGAGAGATGACTGTGACTCATTTCATGCCGGAATTTGTCACATTTGGTCACCACAGTCATAACTTGTGATTTTTTTGTGAACTGAAACATACAGGTCACATTGGTTAACCAATGACTGTCACTCATCACAGGAGGTCCCGGGCAGTTTTGCTGTTTTGCCCCGTGCTTGCGCAGCGAAGACCTGGCGGAATGCTGGCTTTGGGGTGTCACAAAAATGCTGAAAGAAAACTCAAGGCGACAGCAGTGTGATGTGACTTATAAATGACTTAAACATACTTAAATACTTAGATATACTTGGATATACTTGGATATACTATGATGAACATACTATATCATGATATACTTGGCACAGGATGAACAGCTGAACGAGTGAACTCTGATGGCACTCATGTTTGTGAGAACAATCATGGAGAAACCTCAAAGGGAAGACCACTTCTGTCCCGGAAGCGGCCACTGTCCTTAGAAGCCGCATGCCAATGGTTGTCAACGTATGCACCCTATTAATCCCTATTACATATAACATTATATACATATTTAAATATCATATTCAGATGCTTCTAACTTCTAACATCTATGTTCAATATAACTATGGCGATCTCTCCCTCTGCTGTACGTATGTCTGTTTTTTTGTGCGCCCAGCAGCTGGTCGCAGTCCAGGACAACAGTCTCCAGGCCATCTGGGTGGTCCTGCAAGGGCCAAAACATACCTGTCGCATTCTACCACCAGTCATAGGTATGATAGGTATGACAGGATAGAGAGAAAAAATATGCAATAGATATAGCTGATATTTACATTGTTTTTTTTGTAATGATTTTCATGTGGAAGAAGGATCACAAGGAATTGCAACATCACCGATTTTGGCAAACACAGCCATTGGAAGCAGAGTGGTTTCCTCCTCCACAGTCTCAATGCGGCTTGAGGACGAGTCTCCTTATCCGTTGCAAGTTGGCAGCTTGGAAGTTAACGCGGGTAAGAACATATAATATGATAAGCAATTTGGTAAACCATGGTAAGAATGGTAAGCCCAAATGAGAGATGTTTCTTTTTCTTGGGGTTGCCACATTAAGATCGACTGCTGCAAGTCCAATTCATAGTGGGCAAGTGGACACTTGCTTTGTCACATGCCAGTTCTATGCAACATCTCAGCTTCGTAGGATCATGGTGAATGTGTGCCACCATCATGGTGAAGCAGAACTGCGATAACTTTTTCCGCTTTTCTTCGATTGCGCAATCATTTGCAGCGCAACGAATGTTAGTAGCAAGCTACCTAAGCAAAGGAACTGCTGCATTGCCACATCTGAAGCTGCTGTCTTAGCTCCTGGCATGAAGTTTCTCCATGCTTTCTTGTCGACCCTGACTCTATCGTGCATTGGAGTACCAACCCACAAACCAAACAGCTCAGTGACACCAGGTTGACTGGTGCTGAAAGAGTCGAATTGTGTCAAATCAATGAAGTCGACCCAGTGGACCCGTTGGCCCTTTGGCCTCCGAGCATATTTTTGACTTTGCTCCTGCTATCTCCTGCTACTTTGAAGCCTGGAGGCTGCCTGGAGTCATGCGGCATAGCCGCTGCCCGTCTCCTCGATTTTCACGGAGATGCTTTTCACTAGGCCACGTGGATGGTCGACGGTGTTGTTCCGGAGGATGCCCATCATGTATGCCAGCAACTGGAGAGGCACCATGGCTAAGATTGGCATCAAATATTCATGCGTTTCAGGCAAACCGATGACGTATTCGCAAAGCTGTTCCAGTTCATCGTTGTATTTTTCCGTAATGGCGATGGTGGCGCCATTCCTTGCCTTCACTTCCTCGATATTTGACTTGATCTTTTCGTAGGTGGCATCTGCCATGGGACAAACAACGACCACCGGCATGAATTCATCGATCAATGCGATGGGACCGTGCTTCATCTCAGCAGCCGGATAGCCCTCGGCGTGAATGTAGGCAAGCTCTTTGCACTTCATTGCACCCTCCAAAGCCACCGGGAAGCTGCAACCACGTCCCAGAAAAATGAAGTTCCTGTCAAAGCAAGGACATGCTGGGCGCTTTGGACAGAATTCTCTCTCTCTCAATTGATTGGTTCAGCTGCCCCCCAGACATTAGCACCATTCAGGACAAAGAACCATTCAGGACAAAGAACGAACATCAGAAAGCTTAAAGTACCTTAAAGTCAAACAAGATTCTGGGCGAGGACATTCTGGCAACCAATATCCCACAAGGGACATTCTCCAATACCGATGGGGTTGTCTGTGGAGGTCTGCATCAGGGGCTTGGCCTCTCGATCGAGAACCTCCTGCATGCCTTCTGGCAGTTCGTGCAAGCGCTTCACCTAAGGCCCGGCAAATCAAGCTAAGGTCCGGCAAGCACGTGTAATTTCTTCTTCCTATTACTAAAACTCGCCCAAATTAAAAAAAGGATTGGTTTGGCCCTTCCGCTTCTTTTTGGTTGGTTACAATTGGATTCTTAATTGTGGTAATTGAGAATCAATAGGAGAACAGGATGGTGAAACAATGGGTGCAACTCCCTATTGATAAAAATAGAACAGTACCTGGAGGTTTTTACTAGGGTCCCATCTCGCAAGTGTTATCCTTTATTTTATGATTAAGGTTTTCATTGGAATATTAGGGGAAAGCTTCGAAATCCAGTTTTTGGCAATATTTTAGATAGATTTTAATAAGGGATTTAATCAAATTCGAAATCGAGTTTATTATCTTTATTTTGGGTTTTCATTGGAATAGTGGGCACCCTAATACAAAATAGATCACCGTGCTTACCATTTGGGGGGGACCATGTTTCAGTAGTAGGGAGAGAAGATTAAGAACTTCATGGATTCCACATGACTTCTAGACATGATGAGAACAGCGCACTAGGCTATTTAAATGACCTTTGTGCATAAGTAACTTCCAGTCACAATTCTGGTGTCATGCAGGGATACACTCATACAACTTCGGGTCCATTAACACCGGACCGGCAGGCATCATAAATAATTACTGTGTGTGTGTGAGACTTGTTTAAGTAATTTTCTTCAACCTTTTTCCGTGCTTGAAAATTAGCTGAACCAAGTCACGAAAATTGACCTCTCAGCATCTGTGATCGTACCACACTCATCTGCCAAAGCCAGACTGAGCAGCTCAAAGACAAAACCCGTCGCCGAGAAACCTTTAGTGGAAGCGACGCCGACCTATGCAGGATGTAACGAAAGAAAATTCATATCTTCCCAGTGCTACTTTTGAGATATACCTGGAACATGATCAAACCATTTTTTGGGGGGTTTTCTGTCACAAAATTGACCGAGGCACCTCTGCACCAGCCTGCACGTTGATGACGAGATCAGACTCCTCTGCCAGGGTAGACGACGAGCTGTTGACAACGGCAATCTTCAGGACGTTTTTGCCCAGCGCTGACTTTGTGATTTGACGAAGGCTTTCGACAGCATCTGCGGTCTCCCCTGACATGGAAACGACGAAGACCACATCGCCAGTCTGAAGCGAAGGCTCGTGATACCGAAACTCAGAGGCATAATGTGCCTCCACAGGTATTCTGGCCATATACTCAATCAAATATTCTGCCAGCAATGTCGCGTGCCAAGACGTCCCAGAACCAATAATGCTGAACCTGTGGTGAGTCTCCGGTGATCTTCGCATTCACAAAAAAAAACACCGCCGTAATTAAAACATGCCGCAACTATGTAAACTTGATTTTAACGTTGTGAGCAAACCACCGGAGACAAACCATTCTGCCATTCACATGGGGGTTTCCGAGTTTCGAAAAAAAATCGACCTGTCCTAATAATCTAACTGTCCTGTCCTGTTCGTGAAGCCTTCTGCCATCCGCTTTTCGGAACTCGCAGCCATGATTTCCAGTGGGGTTCTCCCTGCAAGGCCATGCTCTGGCGGCAGCTTGTCCCGAAGACCTGGGAGTTCCACCACTCCATCTTTCATGTAGACTTGCCTTGGGGTGCTGGGGTGCTCCACCAAAAAAAAAATCATGTCGAAAATATGGAAAATACGGATGACCATGGGCAAAACATGGTTTCAAGATTGATACTGTATTTAAGTATCATGTCTACGAAGATATATTTTTTCATATATACATATCATCATCATCATCATCATCATCATCATCATCATCATCATCATCATCATCACATACGTATACATGTACACATGCATGCTTGCATGCATCTCAATCTCAAACTGACATAACATAACTTAACACAACATAACAAGACATAACATAACAAATCAAAACACAACAAGAGAGAACATAATGCAAAACAACAACACATAACAAAACATTGCATTGCAATGCAGTGCATTGCACGACATTACATTACATTACATTGCATTGCATTGCATTGCAGTGCAGTACATTATATACATTACATTGCATGACGTGATATTACATTACATTTACATTGCAATGCATGACATATTCATGACATTGCATTGCATTACATTTCAAACATTGAAAAACCTTACATAACAGAACAAAACATATTATTACAGAACATTGCATTACACTACCTTACCTTACATTACAGCACAGTACATTACTTTCCGTTACATTACAGGCATACATGCATACATGCATACATGCGTACATGCATACATACCGACAGACCGACAGACCGACAGACCGACACACATACACACTTACACACATTCAAAGGTACAACTCAAAACAAAACAGAACAAAACATTACATTACCTTCCGTTACGTTGCACTGCATTACATTACATGACATTACATGACATAATTTTAATTACATTACATTACCTTCTTTTACATCGCATCACATTACATTACCTTACCTTGTCTTACATTACATTCGAATTACATTACAGATACATCTCAAAGAAAACGTCTTCAAGATGTTTCAAGATATCCGCAAGCAAAAGGAAATGACTATTTATATAGGAACCACCAAAAACCGAACAGTTCTCACCAAATCTATGTGCAAAGTTGGATGCGGTTGTCTAATTGCCTTTTCAACATTTGTGGATCAACAGTTTCCCATAGGTTTTGATTTGTTTTGTGTCGGCGTCGCTGTGAATATTTCTTCGCCTGAAAGAACAGGACAATACGTTCATTTGCTTCTCGACGTGATGGAAACCCTGGGAACTTCGAATTTAAATTTTATCAAGAAAATTATCACCTTTCCTGCTTACCCACCCAAAAAAAGGTGTCTTTTCTTAGTGAACTTCCCAAAATAGTCATTGTGGGATCTTCCGATTGAGGTTTAGCACAAGAGGCTCACAAGCTTGAAACCATCAGGATTCACTTTAGCTATGTTCTAAGTATATCCAGATATGGAACGGAGATGTAATTTGGACAAATTTTGCTTCGAATGTGATCATATGGTTCTTATTCATTGAATACGAGTGGTTCTATCATGTCGAAGATTTGATGTCCTTTGAAACCTTCTAAATTTCTTACTCTGTTTGTCCGGGGCTTTGAAATATCTTGTGGACCGGAGGGGCTGTCCAGCGTTTGCTTATCACCAATTTTATCCCGCAATACCGGCATACTTATGTCCGATGCTGCTTCGTTTGTGTTTTCCTATCTTTGCTTTGCCGTTTGCATCTTGGATTTCAGGAAACTCTCTTTTGTATCTTTTTTCTGGCTAAAGATTCCTTCGTAGCCGTGGCTTTGCGAAAAATATTTTTCACCCAGACTCCCACGTATAAACTGGAAGATTCTCATCCTCAATGGATGGACGTTAGCAAAAAAATGTAGCGAAGTAAATGCAAAATTGTTTTTTATGAGCTACCAAATCTGGGGCACAAATATGGTGAAATCCAGGGTTACTCACTTGGTTTGTTTTATTGTTTAAATACATATATATATATAAATATGAATATGTATATGCAAATCCATATGCATGTGTATATGTATATGTGCACGTATATGCATATGTATAAACGTAA